TGGGAGAGTGGCGGGTATGAGGCAGTGGATGGGTGAAAGGTCATAGGAACAGGGGGAGCCAGAGGCCCCAGAAGAGAGGGGGCAGGGCTGGAACCGGGCGGCCTCTCAGGACCCAAGTGAAGCCGGGGCGGGTCGACGCCTGAGGACATCCGCCTTTTCTCCAATGTAACCGCAATCCTTCCATTTGGTCAGCAGGCTGGCTGGTCGTGGTGGGGACGTGGGATCGCTAATAGGGAAGCCAGCCTAAAGGAACCAATCTCTGGGAAGACCCAAGTCACTCAACTGATCAGCACTCGGCCCTGCCCCACAGGACTCCTTTTGTGGGTGTGCTGTCCATGGGTGGCGGGCTAGGGCCCCTGTTCCTGTCCTTTCCCTCTAGAGGCACTCGGTGGCAGTGGCTTTGTTCTGAGATACCCTGGTGTTATGGATTGAATTGTGTCCCCCCAGAATGTGTGTCTACGTGGCTAGGCCAGAATTCCCAGTGTTGTGTGGTTGTCCTGGGATTTGTGATCTGTCCTAATTATCCTATGTGTTGTAAATCCTAGCCTCTATGATGTTAATTAGGCAGGACTACAGGCAGTTATGGTAATGAGGCAGAAGGCAATCTACAGGTTTAGGTTGTGTCTCCAGGCAATCAAGAAACTAGCGGAAAGAGGAACCTAAGAGCACCGAGCCAGAAGAGGCAGAGCGAGGAGGGCAAGGGCTCAGCCGGCGGGCACCAAAAGGACGCACCGACAAGAACCAAGTCGCGGGGCGGAGAGGAGAGGACCCCTCTGCGGAGCGGAGGCACACACACTCCCTTGGAGTCGCGCGATTTCACTCCCCGCCGCCAGACGGACAGGCACACCACTGCCGCCGCAGGGGCACACCGCGACAGGCCAGCCACGCGATGGTGAACGCGAGGGAACCCAGGAGGAAAACAGACAGCGACAGAGACAGGAGGGGGACTGGAGGGGCGCGGACGGCACCCGCACCCGCCCATCCCAAGGCCCCTCCCTCCCTCCATCCAACCCAGCGTCATGCTGGGTGGCCCCTGATAGGGTGGGGAGAAAGGTGTGGGGAATGGACCCTGCACAGGGGAAAGACGACCCATGAGGAGGTGCGCATCGGCAGCCAATAGAAGGGACTGCAGGAAAGAGGCTGTCAGATACTCAAACTCCTTCCTGGCCCCCATACCCAGGATATTGCTAGGATCATAGCCAACTCACTGTCCAGGCAAGACTGCGCCGC